CACACCTCCCACATCCACATCTGGCACTGTGTATTGAGCTTTTAGGAGCAAATCTAGCCTGCTTTCACGGGATATGCTGAGGAAGATGCTTTACTTCATTCATAATTGACCATATGCTACTTTTAGTATACAGGCATCTTGAATTTACCCATTTAAGCTTTTCTGCAGAAATATGCCATACTTAAAGCATTTGCTATTTGTTTTTCTTGTAGCACGTATCGTTGAGTTCTAGAGAATGAATGACCTTAGTGGGTTTCATCCTTCTGGTATTTTACTCATGTGAGTTTAAATGCTTGCAATGGGATATTATTTATTTCACCTTCTTATGTAAAGGTTACTGTTTTGCATCAGTCTTGTCATTCCATCTGCCTTTAAACTCTAAACTGTCTGTGGTTCTTGTATTTATGGCTTGACCGTAAGAGCTTTGCTTTTATTCTTTAGGTCAATCCTCCTGCAGCATCTCATTTCAAATTAGTCTACTGACGGATTCTTCTACCCACTACAAACCATTATAGGAGAGTTATGAGAGAGAAGCAGACTTTACTACCAGGGCAGAACAACTAATTCGTCTGCCTTCAAATTATCTTTCCGTCACATTGTCTCTGGCACATTCTTTCCACACTTTTTTTTTGTCGTTCTGTCGTGTAGTTCAACTTGACCTCTCCAAGTGGTCCATGCAGCTCTGTACTTTGGAAAAGAGCTTGCACATTTTACCACAAATGTTGTTTGTCTCTCAAGAAACCAACAAGCACGTGTGAATAATCGTGAGGGTCTTCACTGCAGGGCATGGGCAGAGATGAAGGGGCCTTCATTTGAGATGCAGTTGTGGCTTTTGATGCATGTCTTGGAAAACAGTACTAGTTCTGTGTTATGGTTGCTGAGACGCCACGGAGAAGTTATTACCATATGCCGTAATTACTTACAGAATGCCAAACAATCCTTATTCAAATAGTTGTCTGACATTTGATCAATTATTCTCATTATGCATCACATAGAGGTGCTGGCAGGGAATGAAACAGTGGTTTTGTACTTGGTGCTTTTATATTAGTTACTTTTAAATGACAGTGAAGTTGTTTAACCCTTTGCTGAAAACCCTTTACCTAATTTAGTGTTCAAGGTCAAAAAATTGCTTTTAAATCTCGTTATGCTGCATTATCACCAAATCTTGGATTCATTCTTTTTGTCACCTTTTTTTTCAATTATCAAAGGTTCTGTATATCTTTTGGCAAATGATTTGTCACAGGCCTCGTTGATCTGAGTTTTAGTGAAAAAAACATTATTTAAACATTTTTTGGCAATGCAGCAGCACAGATAAATCAGCCTACAATCAATCAGTTCCGAAAAGAAAAACCTGTGCTAATTGAAAGAAAACAAGTTGATATAAAGATTGAATCCAGTATTTGGTAATAATATGTCATAATGAGAAATTGATAAGAATTTTTTTTGAAGGTTGGTCATTTTAGGCTAGGAACACTACAAGTGTAACAATGTGGGGGGAAAATTCCCAAATTGTACAAAAATTCTCAAAAAAAGTTGTTATACCCTGTGTGAGGTGAGCAAAGTCAGTAAGCAAGAAAAATGAAAAACCTCTCTGGGTCAAAATGACCGGAATACAACATGGGGTTAAAATATGAAGAAGCAGATTATTGAAGGGATTATTTGATTGAGTTACCTTTTCTTGAATAGCAAAAAGGAAATTAACATTAATGAATTTAATCAATTAATATTATAATTTAACATTGAAATTAACTTTCCTATGTTCTAATTGTATTACTTTTTAAAGTATTATTATTTTATGAATGATAAGAGCCGTATAGCTTCAAAGCACACTATCCACTCCAACTCAACTTGTAATTAATGAAGTTTGTCTTTTGTCTGAGTGGGTTTATTGTGGCTACACTGAAAAGCCCTGTTATCCACTCTGTTGCACATCCATGTGGCAGTCGTACGGCTTGCAGACATGATGTGTCCTCGAGGAATGTTCTCCTTGGCTTAGTCCAAGCTCTCCCAACCACTGCCACAGAAGTAGGCCTGAGTCTATATGGAAAATGCTTGACTGATGAGAATTCACAGAAAGTATTCAGACAGTATGCATTGTGTGACCCCCAAATCAATCTTCCCTGTCATAAACACAGCTTTGAACATAAGCCGTGTTTTGAAACACGGACACCATGGTGCCCTCAGGATATGGCGGTAGTTTATGAGTGCACGTGTTTCAAGAAAGAACGGTTCAGGCGTCTGGTTTGTGTTTTTTTTTTTTTCTATGTGTGTTGTCATTTCTGTGTCGTCTGAAACTGAGGGAAAATGCATCAGTCATTTTGCTAGAGTGAACTTGAGTAAGAGCTGTTTAACCTTAACCTTTCCTGAAAGCAAGGAGTGTATCCTTTGTCTAGTTCCCTTTGTTCTCTCTTCTCCTTCATGTTATTCTTTCTTTTTCAGAGTTTTTTGATAAATGATACCATGTTGCCATGATGCTTCACAAGCACATTTCTCCAACCAGCTCTCTAGATTATAATCTAAATGAGTGGAATATCCTTGTAGGATCTTTTATTCCAATGTAATTTAAGATGACAGCATCTCCACATCTGGACTGAAGTCATCTGAGCTTTAATGTGAGCGCGATGTCATATCCTCAGTATTTATGGATCTTTTTTGTTAGTCTAAAGCAGTTCTTAACCTGAAAATCACTTCTTTTGTTTTCAGACTTTCAGCCAGCAGACTCAGTTTGTTGATATATCATTGTAAGTACAGGAAGTAAGCCAAATTCTCTCAGAATATCAGTACAAATTTCCATTGGATAGCTCATGTATGGGTTAATATTGTTGGCTAATGGTTCAGAAACAATCATAGTGTTTTGGGAGGTAGATTTTAGTCTGTGTCACCAGATAGGGATCTGCATATGTGTTTCCAGCATGAAATTACAGCTTGACTAATAGCCATAAATAATGTGACAACCACCATGAAATTGTCAGGAGTGCTACGTAGAATGTAGCTGTCCATTTAGAACTGTTATATTGCAGCAAAAAGAGTACATTAAAGAATATATCTCTATTTAAAGAAAATTTGATTAAGAATTGCCAAAATTTCAGATGCGAGAAACCAACAAATCTGGTGAAAGTTTGGAGCATGTTCACATTGGAATGTGTTTACTATGAGACCAAGGGAGAGTAAGGGAAGAGGGGGATGTGTAATCCTGTTGGAGCAATTACATGTTCCCGGAAAAAGGCTCGCAGTCCTGCAGTGCTCGTTACACAGTGCGTAAATCAGCTGTGCTTCATGTGCATGTTCAGTCATCAGAATCCTCGCTTAACCTGTTGACTCACTCTCCTCCTTGTTAACAGTGTTGGCAGAAGCAGTCATAAGCATAGTTTTGTTATTTTGCCTGATGTCAGTGTCATTTCATGTAATTTTGCATGCTCATTTCTCATATTTTTAAATTTGGATTACCGTTGTCATCTGACGTTCACTTAAAATTAGAAATACTAATAATTTAATAACACTATTTAATTTAAACTTTCACAGATCTCAAAATAAATATCAATTTTTCATACTGTATACGTTATAGAGCTGTTTTACCTCAAACTTGCAATATTTAAAATGATTGATTTTAGATTTTACCATATTTTATTTTACTCAAAATGGTACAAATACTATATATATAATATAAATTGTATGTACATTATCGTTCATATTTTTGGTGTCAGTAAGATTTTTAAGAAATTAATAGTGTTATTCAGCAAGAATGCATTAAATTGATCAAAAGTGACAGGAAAGACATTTACAATGTTATAAAATATTTATTTGTAAATAAATGCTCTTTTGAACCTATTAATCAAAGAATTTAGAAAATATGTGTCATGTTTCCACAAAAATATAAAGCAGCAGAGCTGTTTTCAACATTGATTATAATAAATGTTTCTTGAGCACCAAATCAGCATATTAGAATTCTTTCTAAAGGATTATGTGGATTATATTTAACAATGTTGCGGTTTTACTGTATTTTTGATCAAATAAATCATGTGTAATGTTATACTTTTTCAAAAACATTGAAATCAAATCTAACTGACCTCACACGAAATTTGTTCTCAGGGCCAGCAGCATACAGAAACCTGATAATAATCATTCTAAAAACATAAATAAAAACTCAAACCTATAATAATAAATTAATACTAAATACTAATGATAAATAGCACAGTGCATATGAAATAAATAATATAAATAATGTAATAACTGCATAGATTAAAACCAAAAGCATGTTAAAACATCTTGTAAATGAAGTCTGCACTCCAATCTGAAGCTTATGGTGATGGATCAGTTCTCACAAAGTAAACTAGCTGTTCTGCCATGTGTGTTTCAGATCTGCTCATTGCAAATAGTGCTTTCTGAGTACCTCTCTCTCATTTGATTAAATGCAGCATTCAGCAAGATTTATTTGTCTCATTTTAAACAATGCTGCGCACTAAAACACAAGCCTGCAACCTGGGGGCATGAGATATGTGCAAGCACATAAACATTAGCAAGCACACAGTATACGCTGTAAATTAAGTCATTCAGCGCCCACAGGAAATGAGCATGTTAAAGAGGAAACACAATGGTGGGCACTATGGGGGTATGACTGCACCTTTTAAGACCAGCTGACTCGTTATGACCCTCTAAACGTCTAATGAAAGGGCTTTCTCCATACGGTGAACTGATTTCCTGAGTGACTGCTCTCACACAGACTTACCTCAGAGTTGCTAAGACCTCAACAGAGCTAATGATTAATACTGCAAAAATGCACCTAGACAACAGAGCCTTTTGTTTACAGGCTCGGTTTTCATCTGTACCTGCTGCGTTATCCAAACCAGATGTTTCTGGGATCCATTATGCAATCTAGGCTAGACCTAGTCCTCCTGTGACTTACCCACCCTCATATCTTTCAGGAAAAAAGCTGAAGTTTTGTTGAGAATGTACTTAATGGGCCTAACATGTTTTTCCTCTTACTTTTAATTGTTTGGCAGAAGCAATAGACCTTCTTGATCATCTGTGGCAGGTGGCTAATCACAGCAACGCATCAGTAACACAGGAAAGCCAAAGATGTCCAGTCCTGCATGTAGGCCAGTACTCCACCCTCTCTATACCACTCCGGCAGGTGTTTGGACACAGGTATGCACACTTATGGCCCGCTGACATAGAAAGTTTTTTTTTTACATTTTATTATGTTTTTTCTGTTTAGACACTCCAAACTTTGTTTGTACATGTATCAATCTTAATGCATATACATATACAGTTTAACAATTTTGGTAACACTTTAGTATCGGGACCAATTCTCACTATATTAACTAGTTGCTTATTAGCATGCCTATTAATAACACATTGCCTGTTCATTAGTGCTTATAAAGCACATATTCTGCATGGCCATATTCTACATCCCTAATCCTACCCAATACCTGAACTTACCAACTACCTTACTATCTATTAATTAGCAGCATATTAGTAGTTTATTGAGGCAAAAGTCGTATAGTTAATGGTTTGTAAATAGCGGTAAGTGATTAATGACAAAATTTTCATTTTGGGGTGGAGTAACCCTTGAAGAAACACTTTACCTCTAATTTTATATATATTTCTCCAAAGCAGACAGTTAGAGCATCCAAACAGTTATTCACCTAATAAAAAAACACATATTTCCTGACAAGACAAGTTGGAAATGAGACAAGTCTATGTAATTGCCAATGTTGAATTATTCTTAAATGGGGATTAAAGGGGAACCATCTGAAAACTCAATTACTTGGTGGTCTTCATTATTTTGTGGTTCATACTTTGGTCCCAAAGCTGTCATCTTGGCAGGAAAAAGATAATTAAAAAGGCACATCTCAGTGAATCCTGTTATGTAACCACAGTCTGTTTATTCTCCTTCTCCTCTCTTATTTTCTGTTGCTTGCTTTTGAATGTCATTGACCTTCTTTGTTCCTCTTTCATGATGACAAAACCATCCTCATCGTCTGCTCATTCTTCATGTCATGGAAGTATTAGTTTTGGCCAATGGTTAATTTTAAACACAAGCACAGACCCCACTGTGTTGAGGAGCTCTGTGATATATTAAACCAAGATTTCTGGATTTGGCTTAGACTTAAGCCAAGCCTTACAGTGGAGACGTGTAAATGAAGCATGGGATTTAACTCATGGCCTCTCAAAACTAATATTTGAAACTGTCGCCTAATTACCCACCTGCAGGACAAAATAAATGGAAGTTTTACACTCACATTTTACTTGTTTGTGCTAATTTGTCATTATGCAGACAAGAAGCGTTATGGCTCTGAATGTTTTGCCAGGAAATTTAATGGCTTCTGCTTTCCTTGGTCTCCCACGACTCTCCTTGTTCTCCAAAGCTCTAGCATGCGATTTGACCAGCCCACCCTGTCAAGAAAACTAAATAAAGTAGTTTGTTTTTCAAAACCCGTCCTGTCGTTCCCAGGTTCCCTGTGGCAGTGCTGTCTGATGGGAATTGGCACCGCGTGGCAGTCAGCGTCTCCTCGGGCCGGTTGGCGTTGTATGTGGATTGCTCCATGGTTGAGAGTGTGGACTGGGCTTATAAGGACGGTTTGGGAATCTCCACTGATGGCCTGGTTATGGTGGGAGGAATCATTGAGGGTTTTGAGACACCTTTTGAGGTCAGTATGCAAACATAAAAGGATGTAGTACCTATCACTTACTGTGCGATGAGAATAATGTATCCTTCATCTCACCAGCTCTCAGCACATGACACATACTCTAAATACATCTCCAAACATTCCCAGTCGGCACTTAAACCCAAAGTAAGGTTTATGGAGGATGAGGGTCTCTCAGTGTATAGGAGTTACTATACCCCAAGCTGAACATCTGCGTTTATACTCATCCAAGTTTCCAGAAGGATTGGACATTCTGTTGCTGACAAGCGGATAGAGATTTTACATTTTTTATGTGCAACTATCTGTTACAAACTGCCAGCACAGTTTCTTACATAAATAATATCTAATGCAAAATTGAACAAGAGTATGATTGGTTGGTTCATAAAAATAGCATGTCATAACATGAAACATTTCATGTAGCACTCAGTTAAAGAATGATTTTAATAAAGAATTTATTAAATAAAATTAATCATGATTTTGTCCCCAACTGTAAACTCAATCTTTTCCCCACAGTGCAGGTATCCTAAATTCGAAGTTCCTAATACTTTAATGCATTGTTCATACTGACAGCCATATTTATTTGTAGAAGTGAATTCAGAAAAATTAAAATTTACTCCAAGATGTAGATGAGCTTGTTTCTTCCACAATTTAGCATTTCATGATTTGTGAGTGGGTGCCGTCAGAATGAGGGTTAAAACGGCTGATAAAAACATCACAATGATCCAAAACATTCACCTAGTCCATCAATTAACGTCTTGTGAAGTGAAAAGTTGTTGCATTGTTGTAAGAATCAAATCCAAATCCATCAAGGCTTTTTAACTTTAAACCTTCACTTCTGGCCAAAATATGAGTCCATGATAACGCTTACTCCAGCAAAAAAGTCCCCAGTTGTCTCTCACATCAAAATCCCCTGACATATTTGTTTAGAACTGTTTTAGCTTATACGGTGCTTGATCTGTGCATATTTTTCTCCTGATTCAGGCGAGACCATTTTTTCACCGGAGAAAGCATTATTATAGGACTAGAATAGTAGAACTAGTATTTTAGCTGGAAACAATGGTTTGATCTTAAAAAGGTCTTAATAATGGATTTGTTTCTTATAAACATGCAGCTTTTCACTACACAAGATGTTATTTAATGGACTAGAGTCATGTGGATTACTTGTAGTTTATTGTGATGGTTTTATCAGCTCTTTGGACACTTATTCTGACGGCACCCATTCACTGTAGAGGATCCAATGGTGAGTAAGTGATTTAATGCTAAATTTCTCCAATGAAGGAACAAAATCATCTTGGATGGCCTGAAGGTGAGTACATTTTCAGCAAATTTTCATTTTTGGATGAACTACTTTAATTTGCTGCTACTGTGTACAGAGTAAAGGAGTCACTTCTACAACCCTAAACACATAATTGTTGACATTTTAACATTTTGTTGTCTCCGCTATGAACAAGAAACATATATGCTATCTTAGATAGCCTGCTTGGCATATAAATGATCCATGTAAAAAGAGTTACACTAGATGTAGAATGTTTGTAGCTGGGGTGTGTACACGGCCATAGATTATAGATTATAACAATAGACCTTAGGTTGGGGGTAAAAAAAAAAAGGCATTTTGGGAGATTATTTTGGCCTTGTAAAATGGATTTCAAATTAAATTCCTGTGTTGTTATGCTGAAGGAAAGGCATTTTAATGGAAGTAGGAGTATAGTTAAGACAGCTGTGCACAAGTTAAATGCCCTTTTTTAGTTGTGTTATACAGGGAAAGTTAATATAGCATGAAGTCTAGGCTGAGTCTCAGAGAATGACATCATAGAGTCCAAACATCCCATTTACATACTCACACACTGAACTCAGTCATAAGGTGACATGATTAGGGTTTGCATTTACCCAACTTCTAGGGCGACACTTCATTATCATAACAAATATCATTGTATTATAAGATGTTTAAGAGATTATTGGACTGCAATCTAGACTCCAAGCATTGATTGATTCATATGTATTCATATCCGAAATGACCTGTTTAAAAAAGCATGTATGCTTATGTATGTGTGTGTGTGTGTGTGTGTGTGTGTCTGTAAGCAGACATGCATGTATGCACTGTGTGACCATATGGGTTGTGTGTACTCATCTGTATAGGTGTAATAGCTTCATTTGCCTCGTATCTTTAGGGTGATCTGATGCAAGTGGCATTTCTGATGGGAGAACCAGATGCAGCTCGAGATCAGTGTGCCGTTTTGCAACCCCAGTGTGGCGGAACCGGACACAAACCACCTCGCTCTCCTCGCATACACACTGAAGAGGTAAGTGAGCCATACTGTACAGGGAATATCATGTAACCTACCCACACTGATATCTTCTGAGACTAGTTTCTGCCATCTGATATTAATATAAACAACAAAAAATATAGGAAATGCATTTATATTATTGTGTGTATACAGTATCTGTATCTCAAAATACATCTTTCAAGAGTTCTACAGTATCTACATACATCATCTTTTCATCTGCCTTGTTTTCCCTTTCCCTGTCCAGGAACTTCTGCTGTCCTCAAATGACCTGGAGGACTTATTAGAGACAGCAGAGGACAGTGACTCTATTAGTGTAAAACTGACTGTAAGTAGCAATACTATGCAGCTGTGCCATAGTAACTAAGTTACTTCTCATATAAAGTCAAATTCATAGTCAAAATTGATACTGTTATTTACTCACCTTCATGCCATTCCAAACCCATATGACATTCTGTAAAACATACAAGAAGATGTATTGCAGAATGTCCATAGTGGTCTTTTCTATAGAACAAAAAAGAGGACTGTCACACTTTTAAAAATAACAAAGAAGCAGCTTAAAAGTTTATTCTCTTCATCACAAAAAGCTTTGTACAACTTCAGAAGACTATATAGCAATAGAAATATGTCCCATAAATAACCACATTTATGGTGTTTTTTGTTTATTTTGGGAGCTATATGAGGGTGAGTAAATGATGACAGAATTTTTGGTAAAGTAACTCTTTAATTACGTATCCATTCAATTAACATTAAATTACCTAGCAAATAGTCAAACAACGTAAAGATACTTTCTTGTAAGTCAAACAGTATGCATACTGTATCTCAGCAAGTTTTAGAGTTAAGAGTTGTTATTACTCACAGAAAGTGCTGAAAAGCATTGTGTTTTGAAAATCATATTTTGATTGCATGTTTGGTGTGGATACAACTGCTTGAAATTGTGACTTCAACCATTACATGTGAACTGTCAATTTATATTGCCACTCAACATATTTTAAACCTTGTTAAAAGCTGTATTTGTATTTGCACACCTTTCCTGTCAGGCTGATGGGAATTTAATGTCTAATTTGTGGTTTTTATATGTACAAAATGTTTAAAAAACAAATGACAGTCTTAAAGTCGTCCAACATACTGTGAACCGAACCTGTAATCACATATCAAACCCAAGTGGGCTTTCCAAATCTTTTTTGTCTCTTCTTAAGCCAAATAAAGATGGTGTGTGGTGTTGCTGAGCTATAGCAGCCTTGTCAGTCCAAGTGTGTTTGCCAGCTGTGAGCTGTTTGGCCAATGGATTCATGGTCATTGTGGGCTGTGACTCAAACTTAGAAACTGCAGATATAAGTATTGATGGACTCCATATTAGAGATGCACCGATTGCAATTTTCTTGGCCGATTTCGATTTCCGATTTTTTATTAGTGTGATCTGCCGATACCGATTTTTGCCGATTCTGATTTTCTTTCTAAGAACTATAATTGACAGCATATACAAACAAAAATCTACTTTTCTTCAACGCAGAGTTTTATTTTCATAAAAAAAACACAAGTAAAAAGTCAGTTTTTAAAATAAAAGATCAAATAAAATAAGAACAAATAAAAAATTGCAAACAACAACACAAATAAATGCAGTAGAATAAAGAGAGCTATGAAACTAAGTTTTTCAGGTCAAGTAAGTTTTTATTCAGGTAAAAAATACTACAGAAATTAAAGTAATCAAATGTAAAATAACACATCCAGTGTTATTTTACATTTGATTACTTTCATATCTGTAGTCTTCATTGTAAAAATTAAATACAGATTAATGCTTACCA